TTAGTGTTGAACTGCGCCAAATAATCTTAGGACTTTCTCTTCTTCTACTGCCTTGCGGATTATACGTAAGAGCTAGAAAACAAATTTTACTCGACGGCTTTCGTAAGGTGTGACGAATCCAGCCAAACTTTCTTTTGTGGATATTTATGTAGATGTCGTTTGTATTCGTTCTATCCCACAATTGTTGATTTGAAATTCAGTTTGGAAAAAAGATGCGTAGTATTTTTTAAAGGTACCAGTTTACAAACGCACGAACTTTGTTTTAAGTTATCTCGGCTACAAGCCATATTTCGCAACCATATAGCAGTACGGATAAAACACATGCTTTGAAAATGTTAACTTTCGTCGTTAACCTATAAAAGCTGGATCTCCATATTGTGTTCATCTCTGTAAATGCGCCAATCGCCTTTCGTATTCGTGAACTCACGTCCTGCATAGTCCCACCATCAATAGCTATTACACTTGATATTTATACATTTAAATTTTATGATTTGAATGTTCATACCACCGCTAGAATATCGGTTTACCAAAAATGTATGGATGATTTGTTCAAGTGCTGCTGTTGCTATATTGTAATCGACAGGGTTTTATTTAAAAGCCACAAAATAAATTTTGATTCTTTAATGATGTCTTGAATCTTATTTACCAAATTTGTATACTTTTTTTGCCAATATATCTCCTATCATCATCAAAGCATCAAAAGCCACAATGTGAAACTTTAACCAGTTAAGCTACCCTATAAGAATAAATACCGATGATTCTAGTCATTTCAGAATGCTGAAAATCTTTTTTCAGTAATCAGAGGCAAAAATGGGTGTAAATAAATTAAGTGCCTCACAAGTTTATGTTGACTTACACAAGAATTATCAAACACATAGTTTTCCGCTTGATTCCAGATGTTTTTTGTTTTAATTCATAACTCTGACATTCAAGTAAATACTATTTGAATACCAACCCCTGGCATAATTACCATTAAACAAGAAATTTGGCCAGTCTGTTATTTAAACACAAATCATATTAAAGTTAATAATATAGGTGATCTTTCAAGAATTCATAGACGTCTTAAATAGACTCAATAAGTAAAGGCGTTAAGCAAATTAATTGAAAAGCAAAGGTTATAGAACAGATTAATTTAGAAATAAGTTTTAAAACAAAAAGAATTTTAAGACCAATTTTAAAGCTATCTGTTTATTTATATTGATGTTAATGTAATAAAAACTAAAAGGATTATTAAATTACAATATTTAATATATAATATATTTGTTCGTTACGCTTGGTCTCTGCAAAATGTTTTTTCAAAGTTGTGGAAGATAACGTGGCTATTTGAAATTCAAAATCAATCAAAACAAGTATCATAGTGTTTGAATAGGGCTTTACAATAATGTTTAAAGCTCTCAATATTGGTACATAAAGAGCGTTTCCTAACAAAATGGTATAAATTTATGAGACATTTTTTTGTATATTTATGTTACTTATATGAATAAGATTTTGTATATTTAATTATTTATTCAAATATAAGCTATCCACTGCGTACGATATTTCGTCTTATAGAAAACAAATGATCTCATTTAACAATTTATAGGGTGATACTAAAATTTTGAGTGTTATAAAATAAAACGAAAACTTGACTTAAGATATCGGTTGAGTAAATGCATTGGTAACGTAAAAGAGTTGTACGCAAAAAATTGTCAGTTTCAGTACGGAAAGCGCTATCTATCTGCCACACAATAAAGTAGCCGGAATTTCTGATGATGCTACATGTCAATTAGATAAACATTTTTGAAAATAAACATACCACTGCCTCCAATTGATACAACACTTGTAATTGTATTGTAAGTCAAATATTGTTCTGCAAATAACAGTTGTTTTTTTTCAACAAATGACCTCATAAGTTAACTATAAAAATGGTGCTTTCTCATTCAATTGCGATCAAAAAGGTCATATCCAGAATATTATAGCAACAATGTAAATTTCCGAAAATCTAATACTTTTTTACGAAACAATAATTTCACTTTTATACCAAAATTAAATGGTCTTTAATTCCAATCTCATACTTCTGCAGTGGTTGTTATTAAAAATTTCACACGAAAATTGAGTTTTTCAGGTACATTTAGGTAGCTATATCTACTTCTATTAATGTATCATAAATTTATTCGATGTACCACTTTCAAAGAGAACACAAATTTTAATTATTATTTTTACGCTAGGAGCTCTAAACATTCACGTTTGATGAAAAAAGAAGGTTTGTTCCGTTCTTTTGTATAGAGATAAGGTAATAAATATATCATCCAGATCGGTTCAACGGTTTAAGGAAAAATTGGATTTCAAGAAGTTATTTGTTTCGTGGCCACTCTAAATATTAACTCAAAAAATATATTATAAATATTATATTATATTGGGCCCCATTTTTAAAGAGCAAAGTAATGAGAAATGCATTTTTATATACGTTTAATTTGAATGAAAAATTTATCCTTGAAAATTTGTTTAGTTTGGAAGAATCTTTATAGATGCAGAATATACTACTTATATGTAAATATGTTGCGCTAGGAATATTTAGTGCTAAATTTAATAATATGTACTTATAAATTTATCTAGTATATCAGCTGTATCAATGTAAACCCTTAATTTTACACATTTCGATTGATAAAAGTTTTTCATCGAATTTAACACTAGTTTTCTGTCGTTTTTATTAATTGCATTTCTTAAATTTTCAAACAGTGATAAAATATAGAAAGTAAAATAGATCCAAGATGAAAGTTAGACATTATGAGTTCACGAAATAGTTTTAAATTTATAAAGAGAAAAACACCTCTTAGAAAACAAGTATCTCCAAATTCAGCGTATGCTTCGAGAATAGAACCTATTGAATTTCACCGCATTTTGAACAAAATTCATACATTTGTAGCATCTGCGCATAAGACAAGCGATGAGAGTAAATTTTATCGCATATACGAGTATTTGTACTAAAATAAATATTTTGTGGTGAAGCAAAAAAATGAACGTTTGTTTCTAGATATAGTAACCTACATCATCTTGTCCAAAATGCCACGCACAATTAGTTTTTCTTTTTACTACCTCTCTGATAAATTTGAAATCACCTCAAAATTACTGTAGCGTATTTTACTCAAATTATTATAACAAAAATGTCCATTGACATATTATATCTTCTTCCTCTTATCAACCGCCGATTGCCAATCAAAATAACTATTTTGAATATATAATACGTATTAGATTTAATATTTTTATCGCAATTTCTTACATTTTGTCACTTACTCTTAACTATATCTTAACAATTATATCTCTTAACAATTAACTAAAATATATGTTTAAATATGATTAGCTGTTTTCATATATCATATAGCATATACATCTGACCATCAATCTGTTGTTTTGCCACTAACTGGCTGTAAAGTCCACCTAGCCACCACCGCAATTTTAGCCACTCGTTAGGAGACCTTCAATTCCACCATTGACCATCTTATCACTGACATCGACGTTTCTGAGCACAAGAATCTTTATTCTGTTGAAATTAACAACATTGTTATACAGCTCCTTGGGTGATGGTAATCACAATTTTTTAATTTCTAATTTCTTAGAAATTTCTCATTTCTAACTTCTGTGTAAGTTTTCCTTCTAAATGCGCCAATACACTAGATCCCAATGGGTTCATAACTCCCCGCGGTCTTAATGACAGTCCCAAGTCCAATATATCTAAGAAATCTGCTGGTTTTGATGGTATTTCTTACTATTTCCTTCGTAAACTCACTCCGCGTTTCTTTTGCAAATGTGCAACGATTTTACATCATGCTTATAATATTGGGCATTATCCTAGACCATGGAAGACAGCAATAGTCATCTCCGTTCATAAAAACGATAAATACAAATCCTTAATGCCAAGCACAGACAAATAATATACAGATTGCGTGTGCAGGAAAAAAATGACTCCAATGATTTCATAGCAGCCAGCTCCAATAGCCAGCTAAAAGCACATATCAGCTTTGGATTGCAGAACAATTAAGGCATACAAAAGTTGCGTATAACACAATGATCTTCGAATCAGCTCAAAGGAGCTGTTGGTTGTGCGTATGGGTGTGTGATAAAGTATAGAAATTGTTGATATATTCTCTGATTTATATGGCGATATTTTTCTGTTTTGCGTTCTTAAGGGCCTACTACATATCAACAATTGTTGTCAACAAACGTTGTCATCGTTTGGTATCACGTAAATTGAAAATAAATTACCAAAACAACGTTTTCTTGTACGTTGTACGTCTATTAAAATTTTTCCATCAAATTTTAATACTAGGTATTATTTATTTATTTATATACATATTAAATTTGTTGAGGTCCTTTTGCATTGTAGTACAAAATTTGAATTGAGACTAGTAATGAACACTTCGATTGGTATATTGAAATTTGGACAAAATCATTATATTCAATTAATTGTAAATGTTTTATACGTAAATTTATCAAATTGTAGTTTTTTACAATAACGTTATGTGTATTGTATAGCGTCATGCCATTTCGTTAAGACCAGACTAATTTTTTGATTTAATTCAATTTTTTGGATTAATTAATAACTATTTGGTAAAGTTTAACTGTCTTTCTTTAAACCAAAGAAGTTTAAAGAAAGATCATTGAACCCGAATGGCACTAATTTGAATAAAACATCGCAAAAAAAACATATACAAATACTTTAGAATCTTCACGTCTTCTATAATATGTAAAACTAATGCTTCCAAATATAGTAACATAATTAATATCTGCTTATCTCATTTCAATATCAACCACAGCATCCAGAAATAATTTAAAAAAATGAATGAAATAGTTTTTCCTACTCTTTCAGTTTCTTATTTAACTAATTTTTTGGAAAAAATTTATTAATGTAGTAAATTTGCTTCTTTGTAGAGTAAACTAATATGATAAAAGATACCTGCGAACTGTGTAACAAGTTTAGTTTGTTAAAAGTTGCTTTCGCAAACGGAACTTAGAACAACAATATGAAAGTTCTTTTAGTAACATTATGTGTTTTAATAAGCGCTAAAATCTCATTAACGGATGGTAATGAAGAAGTAATATTTAAAATGCTTGTTTACAAACTTTTTCTTTTTGCAAATAGATAGTCTAGGGAAACCAACTGAAGCACCACTTTTAACGTCTACAGCTAAACCATCAAATTCATTAAAAATAGTCACAAAACCAACGAAATCGGCAATACTCAACATAGAAAATAAATCTGAACACTCAAATAAGGAGCCCGAAACTTCAACACATGGATCAAATGTAAAGTCTTTAAAAGTAACAGGGTTAGTAACGAATGATGGTAATATATATGATATTGAGGGGAGCAATGGTATAGGCTTAATTGAATCCCGGCAGGCTCAAAATGACGATCAACAAACACACGTATGCAATTATGGAACAGTAGTTATATACAGTGATATACCATGCAACGAAGTGACAAACGTTGCAATAGGAGAAGTGCAGGAAGAGACCTTGCAAGAAAACAATGAAACGCAATCCGAAAAAGAAACTAATAACGATTTGAATTCGGAAAATGATTCTCCTGATCGTTTTAACGAATACGATTCTGCAGAAGAATTTCAACAAAGAAAACAAAAAAAACGTCCTGTCAAGAATCGCAAGAGAAATCAGTTCAGAAATAGAAATAATAAAAATCAAAACCGTAAGCGACAAAACTTCAATCGTCCCATAAAAAAACAGCAAAGCAACAGAATACAACAAAAACATCGAAATCAATTTCGTCGGCAACAAAATTTAAAACGAAATCGGAATCGGAATCAGTCACTACTACAGGAAAACAATGTTCGAAATGGACCAAATCAGAAACGAAGAAGAAATAATCAAAACCGCTTTAACGACTCAAGAGAGTAACAAAATATAGAGTAGTGCCGACTACTCTATTAAGATTATATAGAGATCACAGAAATGGAAGGTTTCTATTGGAAACCAGCAGAAAAAAATATTAAGGATAAAAATTTTATATGCGGTAGATTGCATGCAAATTTTATAATTTTATTTATATTCCTGATAGACGTTTAATAAATGTATTTGATTACTTATTATATTCCTTTAGTTAAATATAAGTGATGTAAGACAATTTAACTCTTTTATTTCATTTCATTAACTTCCAAAATTTTTACTCTGTAAAATGTTTATTAGCACAAAACTGTTTGTTTTATTTAAAAGGTTAATCCCGAAAAATCATTACCTAATTCATTTGCAAATGTTTTGAAAAGATCATATGAGTCAATTCGTGATAAAACTGCTTTTTTTAAGGAAACTCGGACAATAAACTTCCAAGATATCAGCCACAAACGAATGATCAAAGCTTTGTGAAAATGAGTTAAAACTTGACAAGATGTAAAGATTTAATATAACTAGTTGTGCTGTTTAAAATCAGCTATCCCGTTCTTCCTTATAAAAAACAATGCATTGAATTATTTGTGCCGAAGTAAAAGTAAGTCAAATTTTGGTTTCTTGGCGTAACCAAAGGAGAAATCTTATATCTGATAATACAAACATACAAACATACAAACATTAAGCAATGAGATCGCTTGTTTGTGTGCGAAGTATTTAGTGATCAAATTGAACTTGTGTTGTTTTTGTTTTTATGTGGTTTTGTTTTGTGCGTGCTTTGTCATAACTAACCACTTTTTTTGAAATCTACCGTTTTCATCACCGTGTTCGCTAAATTTACGCCAATTAATTCAGTCTTAAGATGCATCTGAAGCTTATTTTAAATAACGTTCTTTCTGTATTAAGCAGACCAGAGCGGGTCAACAAATCTTGTTTTTTAATGGCAATGTAATAATATTTCATCCATTGTTATTTATGCCTTATGAATTTAATTTATGGTATGTATCTAGTAGGTTTACTATATTCAAGGCTATGCACACTTGAATATGCGAACTGAAAAGATTAAGTATGTTTCCAATTTTAAAATACTTACGGGAACATCGATTTTAACTTGTGTGCGCACATTAACACTCAATCCTTACTCATTTTTTTTTCATTATAAAGTATTGAGGATCTTTAGGATACTTTAAAGTATTGAGGAGTTAAGAGAATTTCTACCTAACCAGTTTCGAAAAAAGTATCAGATTTACTATTTGGTTTCGATTTCATTTTAAAATAACTGTTTGGAAGTACAGTTATTAACTAAATGACTATGCCATAACTATGATACAATTAAAGTTAGTCTGAGGATTGTTAAATATACAGCACTTTCTCAGGGCTTCAAAATCGCATATTTAAATAAGAATTTAGAAAAGTTTTTGCTACTAATTTTTGTTTTCAAAATTTTCGAGGATCGAAATTGTTCCATAAGAATTAATTTTTCAATGAGCAAATATTAATTGATATATAGAACTCCAGAACTCCTTAACGGAAAATTGTTTTATAATGGTAGTGGGCAAGGATAAATTCTATCGTGTATGTGCGCATAAATACAGAAAATCAAATTTCACTATATTAATTTTGTCAAACTTCATTTAACGGAAATTAAGGCGGGAATGTAACATTTTCATTTATTTACGAGTATTTATATAAGTTCTACAATTACATGAAGCAATAATTTTACAAGTTTCAATGGTTGCTATGAAATTTTGATGGACAATTCTTTAAATTGTTGAGGAAATTAAATATTTTCAGTTTTTTTATTCAAGAATATATCCACTTTTAGGAAACAATGACGTCGTCTGCGTTACGACATATTTCTTTATAACATAATCCTTGCTATTTCTCTTTGTCTTTTGTTGCTTTGTACATTGACTTAGTTTACAAGTGTGCAGTAAAACCAGCCCACTTAACACGTAAACCAACAACATCCACAAAAACACAAATGACAGCAACAATAAAAACAGTAAAACCTACAAAACCATAATACTAAAACACCAGCAGCTGTTGTGTGTAGAAGTCATTGAAAAGTCAACCAACTTTTCTTCTGGATTTTTTTGCAACGACGACGTTTATGTTTTATATTTCATTCTTCTTATACTGTTTCATAGCTTCTTGCTTGGTACTCAAGAATGAAGTAGCATGAGGTTAGCTCTCTGAGGAGCCATCAAAATGCATTCTATGAACAAACGCGGTAATAGAGAACTTAACGGTACTCCATCCTGTAGAAAGTTTTTGAATAAAATATAAATTAAAGGTGTACATATAATTTACACTTTTATTTTTGAAAGACGTCACAAATCGATCAATTATTACACTTTCAATTCGTATTGTAACATATCATATTAATTTTTATTTAATTCTATTGTAAGATTCTTTAGAGTTCAACAATAATAAATCAAAATTATAAGCTGTTTTTTTTAGTATCGTCAATAAAAGAATCCAATAAAACAGCTGTATGGTCAGCCCGAATATTCACATTTATCGCTAGTCTCACCCGCGCGTATGCGCTTTTACCTCACCTCTTTCACCATCACCCTATCTCCTAACTTACGCCCCTGCTTTCTGGCATAGATGAACCTAGCTGACTAGCTATTAAGTCTATATGTTAAGTTCTCTCTCCCCTGATTACTGGAATAAAGTTTCCTTAATGCTGTGGAAATATTCTCCATTCATTTCTCCATTTATTTCTAAGGAAATAAAATGTAGTTTCTGGAATTGCTTTCCTTACTAAAAATTCCAAATACCAAGAAACTGAATTATAAAACGGATACGGACAATTGTGCTCAGACTTATAGGAATATTATAAACAAATGACACAGGATATTGTTTGTGTATTTTATAATTTGTATTCTCTTTTTGTTTTTGTTGTTATTATTATTATTGGATTTATTATTTCTCCCGCTACAACTTTTACATTGTATATTTTGTTAGTTTCCCTGAAGATGACTATCGAAGATACTCGAAATATTGGAAAATATCTTATTAATATAATTTGTTTTAAATATATATAACAAATTATAGTTTTTTTTTTTATTTTTATTTAAATGACCAATTAGCCAGCTCATAAATGATTACTTAATTGAGAAATGTTTACATATGTAAACTTGTGTTTATGTGGATCTCAAAAATACATCTTTGTATCAAAAGCTTTGTTACTAATATATTATAAATTATCTCATTTGGAGTAGAGAAGACCCAAAAGTCTCTACTTACTGCTGTTTATTAATAAACAATATTATTGAAAACGATCTATAACAATCGGAACAGACTCATAATCACAATCTATATTCAGGTAGGAAGTAAAAGTTCTCCGAATGGTTTTTAGTTTTAAATAAGATGGTCCAGATATTATATTACATATTAGCGAAATTTTTCTTGTAAAGCACATGCACGATGACTTCGTTATTTCCAGTAATTTAACAGTGGCATACTACATCGAGTGATTTATTACTTTTTATAGAAACATTTAAACTCATCGGGTTATGAGTACAAATCAGCAATAATTACAGTCTCAGCAACAAACATATAGTGGACAAATATTGAGATAGAGCGCCTTATTTGGAAATGTTGCGGAGAATGCTCTCAGGTGTGTTCGTAAAGGACAACTGATCGAAATTTTTTTTTAAGTGATAAATATACTCAAAAAATTGTTTCATATGTTACACCGCAAATGAAAAACAATCGCAAAAACGATTGCCGGAAACATTTACATTTGTAGATCGTTAAAGAGTTTTCAAGAATATTATTCTGTTTGCAGCAATTGCGTTATAAACTAAATAATTTTTTCAATTGATAAATAATGTAATGATATAATAAATTATTATATTTTTTAAATTTTATTGAACTGATTCTATCAGTTTCTTTAATTCGCACTTTTTCAATTTGAAATCCAACAGCTCTTAAACAATATTTTTGGTAACAAAATTATTCGTATTTATATTAGGTTACTGTATTACTGTATTATTAATGTTTTTTAACTAAATTAAAAAATCATTAGCATATGACATAAAAACAAGTATATATTTTTCAATTTGTATTAAGAAACCGTATGTTGAATTTGGAGTAATGCAAAAAATTGCAATTAAAGTAAACCAATTATCATGAAAGTTTAAAATATTTCTAAAGTATTTCACACAATCATAAGTTAAAATATTCACAAACACTTTTTTAAAAAATAATTTCCTACATTATTTAATTTAATTTCAAGATAAGTTCAGTATATAGATACTGACATGATTGGCAAGAATTTAGATTAAGATAAACATAGGACATGCGTTTGAAAAATTAACTACAATGAAGTTAGCCATATCAGTGTGCTTATTTAGACACAATATTGTTCACAATTTCTAAGAAGTGCTGGTGATAAATATTTAGTTCGGAGTTGAACTTTAGGTATATAAACAAGAGTCTGAAATTGATGGTTACAGTTTCCTCAACGCACTATAACAGCGATGTGTTCCAGAACATACTTAGTTGCAATAATTTCTTGCTTAATTCTTTTCACAGAATATGGAGATACCCGTCATTCAAGCAAGTCCTTTTTTAAGTTTTTTAATAATTAATAATTATTTATTATTTATTTTACATTTGTTAACAGGGAGACGTTTTGATCAATATAGAAATTTTGACGAAATCCTTCCAGTAGAGGTGTCGGATGAACCAGCTGATACAGAGTATATATTATTAAATACCGATACTATGAGAAACACAGAGAGCGATAATGCAGGACGCACGTTTCATCACTTGTTATTATACAGAAACTTGCTTCATCCAGATCATCATAATGACGGAAACAGTTATAGGCTACCATACATTATTATAAATAATCCAACAAACTTAACAAATGTTAATAATAATACAGTTGCTAATGTTCCAGCAGCAACTGCAGGAACAGCCGCAGGTGGACGAATAAGTCTAAAGACTCTTCCGTACTTATATCCGGCTCGAACTCAAGTTTTTCAACAACGCGAAAA